GCTATAGGCGAGCCAGGACGCCTCGCCACTGCCTGAACCTGGGACAAGCTGTAACACAAGAGCGGAGAACACTGAGCCCCTCCCCAACGACAAGGGCTCCTTCTTCAACGGCCCGACCCTATCCCCCCCTCCTCCCCCTCCTTCTTCTCCTCCTCCTCCTCCTCCCTCCTTCCTCCTTCCTTCTTCCTCCCTCCTCCTTCCTCCCCCCTCTTCCTCCTCCTCCTCCTTCTCCTCCTTCCTCCTGATGGAGTCCTACCCGGGACATCGCACGCCACCCTCACGCAACTTGTGTCCAAAGCCGTCCCCGGCGAGAGAAACCAAACATTGGCCGACGCGACTGCGAAGCCGACGCCGACCAACATCCGCAGGCCGCAGGCATCCTGGAAGGGCGCAGCGATGCGGCACCGCCACAATCGTTAGCCGACCGAGCCGAACAGAGCGAACAACACCGACTGCGACGCAGCCGAATGGACCGTACCGCGAACACCCCGGCCTTCAGCGACCCATCGGGACGCTCCGAGCACCCCCCGGAAAGCTCTCCGCGAGGCGCAGGTGCTGGAGAGCATCCCGAGGCCAGAGGAACGCCGAGGGCAGACGACGGCGGCCCAAAGCCTCGATCCTTGAACTCCTTTCCCTGTTTCCTTGGATGCCTCCCGGATGGGGTCAGGATAGATGGAGTCGGAGGATCGCGCCGCATCGCCGTGCATTGGCGATGCGTCGGCGACGTCGGCGAATCATCGGCGGCACCAGCGTGGAGAAAATCGGGCTCCACATCGAGCCGAATCGCCGATGCATCGCCGATGCGGCGCGACCCTCCGACCCCATCTACTCGGACCCCACGTGGGAGGCCTCTATTCTGTGTGGAAGGACAACTCCGAGACCAGGCAAGCTTTCGGTGACGCCTCCTGGCGCGCTCGTATCGCGCCACTGGTGGAGAAAACGTCCGAAGTCGTCCGGAATATACGTTCATGCGTTTTTCTCGCGACCAGCAACAAATTTTCGGAATTGTTCCAACGCTTCCTTCGCCACGGCTCGACGCCAGCTCGGAGTGCCGTGGCCGTGGCGGATTGCGCGTGCAGTGGAGGCATGTCCACACGTTATTTGCCTGTCATATCACAACAAGTGCAACATCATGTCAACTCTGAATGGAAGGATTATTAAAGCAACTACATGTCAACACAAGCACAATGTAATCGGCATTATCTTGGTCTTGGGATCCTCCTTTGGTCTCGGACTGAGTATGCCCAACTATTCGGGCACCCCTGGTCCAGTTCGCCCTCAGCGTTTCGGCGTGTGGTTGGCCATCCTCTTCAGGACCTGCCACAACCAACCACACGGGGCAGGCCGACGCTGTTACGAACGACGTCCCTGTTTCCTCTGGGACTCTTCGTACACACCAAAGTTGCCAGAAGACGTCAAGCAAAGTTATTGGAACCTGCTGTTTTGGCCTTCGAAGAAGGGAGGGAGCAACTGCCCCCTCTTTCGTGACACCGTCGGCTCCTGGCGGACTGGCCGCAAGTGCCCCCTGTTTCCTTGAATGTCTGACCCCCCGCTCCCGTGACCAGAGCACTGACTGGAGCACAGGACGGCGGAGCCGACTTCACAGCAGGCATGCCGGAATCTCTCTGCAACACGCGCAGGCATGCCGGAATCTCTCTGACGGATGGGGAAAAAGGCTGCGCCGCCGAAGACGAGCTCCTGGAGAGCTTCGGCTGATAACCCGTTATTTGCCTGTCATATCACAACAAGTGCAACATCATGTCAACTCTGAGTGGAAGGATTCTTAAAGCAACTACATGCCAACACAAGTACAATATAATCGGCATGATATTGGTCTTGGGATCCTCCTTTGGTCTCGGACTGAGTATGCCCAACTATTCGGGCACCCCTGGTCCAGTTCGCCCTCAGCGTTTCGGCGTGTGGTTGGCCATCCTCTTCAGGACCTGCCACAACCAACCACACGGGGCAGGCCGACGCTGTCACGAACGACATCCCTGTTTCCTCTGGGACTCTTCGTACACACCAAAGTTGCCAGAAGATGTCAAGCAAAGTTATTGGAACCTGCTGTTTGAGCCTTCAAAGAAGGGAGGGGACAACTCCACAAGAAGCCCAGCCCTGAGACCCCAGGACGTCCATTGGTTTCTGGCGTGGGAGCGTGACGCTTTCCATCGCAAGACCTTCGAAGCCTACGAAGCCCAGGGCACCCTGGTGGCAAGCAGGGTGTCTCTTGGCAGGGGCCCCCACTGCAAGAGCGACCTCTGGGCAAGAGTGACCTCTGGTGCGCGACTTCACGGGGGACGCGGGGCGGCCAAAAATCGGACGCGCGAGCCGCCATTGGGCCCGCACCGAAGGTGACTCCGGCGAAAGGTTTAGGTCGGGCATGTCCTCCTGCAGGCTGATATTGGGCGGAAGATAGAAAATAGCCAAAACATATTCAAACATATTCGAAAAATTATCGAACAATGGTACCCTGACTATTTTTTGACTATTTTTGAATTTTCCTTTCTGTAGATGGATACGCCAGACTTAACGAAAGGTCACTCTTACAGTGCGGGCGCGGTCGCAAAAGAAATCCTTGCAAGAAGCCCAACCCTGAAAGCCCGCGCGCGAGGTGCACCTGAGGGAAACCACGGAACACCCCGAACGCGGCCGCCTCTTGGGCGGCCGCGGGAAGTCACCGCGCAGCGCGCGGAGCGAAGAAACCCGGGGCACTTTTGACGAAGAGTAGATGTTTTTTTGATTGAGCAGGGACCGACCGTCCCGGCATTCCTATAGTCCTACGGGCCTCGGAATAAATTTGCGAACACATGCCACATTCATCCGTCAACGCCTCCCCCTCCCCCCAATGTTCAAAGTTGAGCCTGATGAGATGCACTTCGACCGCAGTCTCCCCCGCGCGTGCCAACATGAGTTTGGGGGGGAAGGGGGGTGTTCAGTAATTGTTTCCATCTACCGTACCACGACATGTTCTTAGAACCCCGAAATGCTCTAAAAACAAAAGCAGTGTTCTTAGAACAGAAGCCCGATGTGACAAAGCAAGACAGCCCCAACCAGAAAGGTTCTGAGAACATTTCGTGGGAGCCACAAGAGGTTCTTAGAACACTGCTTGCTAGGGCTATAGGCACGCCACGACGCTTCGCCACTGCCTGATTCTCCCCCGCGCTGCGCTCGGCGTCCCGGCCTGCCCGCGGGCGCGCGCGGGCCGCGCGCGGTCGCTCGCTGCCCTGGCGCCCCGCGCGGTCGCCCGGGCGGGCGGTTCTCCCCGGCGGGCGCCAAGGAGCACGGCGCCTACGTCGGAGCAGCACAGGCGAGGGAGGGGCAACGACAAAGGGGGGGGGGCTGGCTCGGGGATGAGGAGGAGGAGGCGGAGGCGGCGGAGGAGGAGGAGCGGGGGGAGTAGGAGGCGGAGAAGGGGGGAGGAGGAGGAGAGGAGGAGGAGAGGAAGAGGAGGAGGAGGAGGAGGAGGAGGAGGTGGAGGAGGAGGAGGGGGAGGAGGAGGAGGATGAGGGGGAGGAGGTGGAGGAGGAGGAGGGGTCGAGCAGAAGGTCGACTACAGAATTGGTTTACCCCCGAATGGGTTTTTCCTTCGGAGCCTGCGCAATGCGTGGGTTCAGTGCACGTTGCAATTCTGGAGGAAGTCCATTCTGCAGACGATCTCCTACTCGAGAGGGAGGAAAAGAGGTGCTGATATCGCCAAGCACCTTGCCTTCGTTTTCCACCGTTGGGGCCCCCATGGGAAGCGCTCGTCGTCACGGCTGGGGATTCGCCTCGAAGTCCTGGCCAGAACGCACCTCGGGACAGGGCTCGAGCTAAACAGTGTTTTTCGTTATCGTTTTGCTTTCGTCTTCCTTCGCTGTCCTCGTTCTGCCCCTGCCTGCGAGGCGACATCAGGACAAACACGGCCCACGAAATCGCCCAAGACACCGTTTGGCTCGAGCCCTGCTTCGGGATCTGATGGGCAGCGATAGGGGTCTGGGGACGGACTCAGGGAGGGGCGAGTGCTGAACTGGAACCCCGACGATGCGACGCCGACAGGTCGGCGACGGGGCCCCGATAGCGCAACTCCACGCTCCTGGGCGGGGTGGGCCATCGGGCCCCTAGGGCGTTTGGGGGTCGATGCGTTCCCCCCCGAGCCGGCTCCCTCCCTTGGGAAGCTGCCCCTGACGGAAGGAGGAGGGTCGTGCGGTCGAAGCAGAGGGCCAAGGCGCAGAGCATATACAAATGTCGCACTGGCAGGGCCCTGCTGCGTGAATTCAAAGCGCAGCACGCCCTGGAGCGGGAGCCACCGTGCGAGCCCTCTCAGCCAGGGACGGAAAGGGGGGGGGTCTCAAGCCAGTCTCGAGGATCGGGTCGGACAACGAGAGGGGGAGTTCGCAACAGAGGGGCCGGCGAACCGGCTCGCGCAGCTGACTGCCCCGGCGCCTCCCGAGCGTCGAAGAGGAGCAACTGCACAAACATAAAACCGCCGGAGGTCCGCGCAGATTTCTTCCGAGCCCCTGCGCACGGGGCGTTAGTAAACGGGCCGGTAGCTGAGGGTGCGTTTTCAACGGCATTCTCAAAACATGATTTGCCGCGCACAAGTGCGAGGTAAGCCACCCCGCCCAGAGCTTGGATGATGCGTCGACGTTTTTGCCGTCCCGATGTGCCACGCACTAGTGCGAGGTAGATGCCCTGTCACCCCGTGCTCGCTTGAAGAAGCCCCTCAGCTACCGCCTCGTTTACTAACGCCCTGTTTGCACGGGCTTGGTTCTTGAACCTGGAATAAGAAAAACGGCATAAACATAAACTTGTGGCGCTCCGCGCGAATTCCTTGCATCTGGGCGGGACCCCCCTCCCTGGCGCGCGGAGCGCGCCTGGAGCGGCGCTGGAGCCGCCGCCGGGGGGGCCCAGGCGCGCATCCAAGAAATCCGCGCGGAGCGCCAAAAGCTTATGCTGATGGCGTTTTGGGTTTTCTTCTTCTTCTTCTTCTTGAACCTTCGCTGGCCCCCCCCCCCCTTGCCTGGCGCGACGAGGAGCGCGCCAGGGGGCGGCGCCGGAGGCGCGGCCACACAAGGGGGGGCCTCGAGCCGCTCTCTGAGAGAGAGAGAAAGAGAGAGAGAGAGAGAGAGAGAGAGAGAGAGAGCCGAGTGGGCCTCCGGCGGCAGGTGCTCGTGCAGCCCTTTGTGTCTCTCCTTCGAGAGAGGGGGAAAACTGGAGCAAGGGGAGGGCGCTGGAGCTGGAGTTAGGTCGGGCATGTCCTCCCACAGGCGGGCTTTGGAGGAAGAGGAAAACAAATGAATCGTCCACAAATAATCGAACATGGACAAGCACTGATAGTAGAAACATCGTCCCCAGTTTGACCAGTTTTGAATATCCCTCCTGTAGAGGGACATGCCCAGAGATCCGATGTCGTGATTTTTTCCATACGGGGTCCCCAGAAATCTCGACCCATTCCCCAGGACCGGTTTTTCATCCTGCGCCGTTCTCTTGACGGCCCCGAGGCCCGGGTGAGGGCCCCTAAGAGGCCGAAAGCTGCGAAAAACCTCCGTCGTGACTCTGTCATTCTGCTGGATCTCTGGGTGCCCGACTCAACGCTGGAGTGGCACCGCCCTCACGCCTCGCCGTGCCGCCGTTGGCCTCGCCGGCGCGCCTCGCCCGGGAGCCCCGGGCGCCGACGCGCCGGGGCCGCGGGCAGCCGCAGGAAGGCCCGCGGACCGCCGCCCACGGCGGCGGCCTTCTCCGCGACGGGCTTCGCGAGGGGCAGCGCTGGAGGGGGGCTGGCTCAGGGGGCGAAGCGTCGAGCTGGAATCGGCGATACATCTCGGAGAAGAAGAAGACGCCCACTCGTAGGGGCCCGACCCCCCACCCCACCCAGGACCGTGAGGATTCGCTATCGGGGGCCTACCGCCAGCCTATCGGCGATGTTTCTCGAAGAGGAAAAAACGCTGTACGCATAAACTTTCGGCGCTCCACGCGGATTTCTTGAATCCGCGCTGGGCCCCCCGCGGCGCCGGTGGCGCGCGCCGCGAGCCAGGGAGGGGGGTCCAGCGCAGATCCAAGAAATCTGCGCGGAGCGCCACAAGTTTACGTGCATGGCTTTTTTTCCTTCTCCGAGATACATCGCCGATAAGTCGGCGGTATGCCCCCGATAGCGAATCCTCACGGTCCTGGGCGGTTTGGGGTGTCGGGCCTTTATCGGCGACGAGTGGGCGATTGGGGGTCGATGCGTTCGCCGCTGAGCCTATCTCCCCCCAACGTTTCCCCTGATTCTCCCTGCCGCGCCCAAAGGGCAAGGCCCTCCGAAGCTTGCCGAAGGCCTCCTTCAGTGTGCGGAGCAGGGCGCGGAGGAGCCCGCGCTTGCCCTCTGGAGCCGCGTCGGGCAACCCGACCTTGGCAGCCGCTGGCGCAGAAGCGGGCGGCGCGGGGGCCTGCTCGGGGCCCTGCGCAGGAGGTGCCGGTGGCTCTGGGGAGGGCGGCAGGTCGTTCTGCGGGGCTGGGGCGGGCTCGACCGCCGGCGCGGGCGCCTGGTCCCCAGCCCGGCTCCACCAGGGCATCGGCACCGGCGCGGGAGCAGGCTGCGCCGGCGCTCGCTCCGGCGAGAGCCAGTGGAACAGCCCGTCCGGCAGCTGCGGGGGCCGCTGCCAGCGCTGCCCAGAGGGCGGGTGCGTCACCCAGTAGTGGATAAGCAGGGGCAGCACCACGAGTACCAGGGGGTAGAGCAGGATCATCCCAGCCTTCTGCGGGCGCTGCTGCGCCCACCTCGGCGGGCACGCCACGCACACCACACCGTAGACCAGTCCCAGGTTGGACACCACGCTGTTCATCGGCGCGTAGGTCCGGAGGGCGAACAGGGGCATGATGAAGCACATGAAAAAGGCCATCAGCACCAGGTGCCAGGCGCGCTTGATTGGGGCGGCCACCTGCTCCCTGACGAAGCCGCCAGCCTGATCCCTCGTCTGCGAGGCCGTGGCGCGGATGTCGCCGACCGACTGCGCCACGGCGCCGCCGAGGTTGGAGGTCCCCTGCCGCACGATCTGCTGCACCCTGGGCGCAGTCTCCGCTGCCGCCTGCGCGACCTCTGCGACGTCGGTGCCCATGCCCACGACCTCATTTTTCAGAGTGCTGACGACGCCGTGCCTCCTGATGTTGTGCTTGAGTGTGTTGGCCTCGTCCAAAGCCATCTCCGTCCAAGTGCGTACGGAATGGTACAGATCCTGGCAACTTCCCATCGACTCGTCGGCCCGCTTGTGCTCCTCGCTCACTGCCGGGTCTTGGCCCCAATACTTCTGGTAGCCCTCCACAGCCTCTTCGTACGCGCCCCAGGCTTCGATGAGTGCCAAGTAGCCCTCGCACATCTGCACGCCGTCGTTCCCCGCCCTGCGCGCCTCGCACCTCTCCAGCATCTGCCCGCGCTCGTGCTCGAAGGCCTGCAGCACCCGCGCCAGCGCGTCCCTGCTGGGCACGACCTCCGCCCTCTGCGTCTGCGCTGCCAGGGCGATCTGCTCCGCGCTCGGGGGGCCCAACTGCAACCCAGACGCGGCGCGGCCACCATCGTCGACCGCGCCGCCGAGAAATACCGGGGGCGCCCCTGGCACGGACGGCGTGGCGAGCGCCCCTGGGTCCACGTACAGCATCATGTATCGGAGGAGGGCCAATTGAGTCAACGGCGGCTCTCCTGGTTTTCCGACGCGGATCCAGCCGTGGCGACGAGAATCCTCTGTGGGGTCCAGGGAGGACGACAAACGCCAGGGAGGGCCGCCGTTGTCTCGACTGGCCCTCCTCCGAATGTTCTTCTTGGCCACCACCTTCACCGTCTGATCCGACTGCAGCCGTACCCGGTACCTCCGCTGCTTGTCGTCATAGCCGACCACCTCGCCGCGCAGGCCGTTGAGGTGGGCGGCCCCAGCCAGGCTGTGGAGCTCGATCAGCACGCCGTTCGCGAGCCAGTGCGGGTCGCCCTCAGAGCGGAGGTCGGCGGGCTCCTGCGCGCTCTCTCCCAGCATCTGCCTGAGCGCATCCTCGTCTTCGGGCGACATGTGCGGGTCCGCGGGCGCCTTGGCGCCACTGGAGCAGAAATGCAGCCTCGAGGCCGCTGAAAGCCTACCGCGCCAGGCTCATAGATCTTGCATGCTGCTTGAGCTTGGGGCCGGCTGCACACTGTTCGCAGGTCGTGCTGTGTTCTCGGCCACTGGAGACATACAACACCCCGCTCACGGATCATGCAACTTTCACGGCCGCTGGAGACGTGCTGCGTATCATTCGTAAGTCTTGCATGCTAAGCAATCACTCCAGATGGCGGAATCCGAAACTGTTCCCCATCAGCCGTCGACTCTCCTGAATCAATGGGAAGCGGGGGTTGGTAGTTATCATGGTAAACCATATGGTAGTTCTCACGGCAACACATATGGTAGTTGCCGTGGTAAATTCTATGGCGCTTCTCATGGAAATCCATATGTTAGTTGCCATGTGAACCATCTGGTAGATCTCTTGGCCCATCCAATGGCAAGTATAGTGGTACGTTCTGCGGTAGTTAGCATTGTAAATCCTATGGTGCTTCTCGTGGTAAACCGTATTGGTGTAATATGGAACGAGTGAGCAAAACAAGCTGTAAAACACAACAGCCACATAGATTCGCCCAATCTCTTTCGGTGGCGCTGAAGGGTGGCAACGGGAGAACCATCTGGCCACCAGATCACGTGTAGCCCGAGTACTAGTGGTGGTAGTAGTAGTAGTAGTAGTAGTAGTAGTAGTAGTAGTAGTAGTAGTAGTAGTGGTCGTAGTAGTAGTGGTAGTAGTAGTAATAGTAATGGTAATAGTAGTGGTAGTAGTAGTAGTAGTAGTAGTAGTAGTAGTAGTAGTAGTAGTAGTAGTAGTAGTAGTAGTAGTAGTAGTAGTAGTAGTAGTAGTAGTAGTAGTAGTAGTAGTAGTAGTAGTAGTAGTAGTTAGAGGTAGTAGTCGTAGTCGTAGTGGTAGTAGTCGTAGTAGCAGCAGCAGTAGCAGTAGTGGTGGTAGTAGTAGTAGTAGTAGTAGTGGTAGTAGTAGTAGTAGTAAAAGTGGCAGTAGTAGTCGTAGAAATATTAGTCGTAGTAGGAGTAGTAGTAGTCGTAGTAGTAGTAGTAGTAGTTAGTAGTAGTAGTAGTTAGTAGTAGTAGTAGTAGTAGTAGTAGTGTGTAGTAGTCGTCGTAGTAGTAGTATAGTAGTAGTAGTAGTAGTAGTCGTAGTAGCAGTAGTAGTAGTAGTAGTAGTAGTAGTAGTAGTAGTAGTAGTAGTAGTAGTAGTAGTAGTAGTAGTAGTAGTAGTAGTAGTAGTAGTAGTAGTAGTAGCAGCAGCAGCAGCAGCAGCAGTAGTAGTAGTAGTAGTAGTAGTACTAGTAGTAGTAGTAGTAGTAGTAGCAGTCGTAGTAGTAGTAGTCGTAGTCGTAGTAAGAACATGTAGCAGTAACAATAGAAATGGCAATAGTAAACATAGTAGAAGTAGTGGTCGTAATAGTAGTCGCAGTAATCGCAGTCGTCGTCACTGTCGCATTAGTAGTAGGTAGTAGTCGTAGTAGTAGTCGTAGTAGCAGTAGTAGTAGTAGTAGTAGTAGTAGTAGTAGTAGTAGTAGTAGTCGTAGCGTAGTAGTAGTAGTCGTAGTAGCAGTAGTAGTAGTAGCAGTAGTAGTAGTAGTAGTAGTAGTAGTAGTAGTAGTAGCAGTAGTACTAGTAGGAGAAGTAGTAGTAGTAGTAGTAGTAGTAGTAGTAGTAGTAGTAGTAGTAGTAGTAGTGTAGTAGTATTAGTAGTAGTAGTAGTAGTAGTAGTAGTAGTAGTAGTATTAGTATTATTAGTCGTAGTAGTAGTAGTAGTAGTAGTAGTAGTAGCAGTAGTAGTAGTAGTAGTAGTAGTAGTAGTCGTCGTAGCCGTAGAAGTAATCACAGAGTAGTAGCAGAAGCGGTGGCAGCAGTAGCAGTAGCAGTACCAATAACAGTAGTAGCAGTAGTAGTAGTAGTAGTAGTAGTAGTAGTAGTAGTAGTCGTAGTAGTCGTAGTAGTAGTAGTAGTAGTAGTAGTCGTAGTAGTAGTAGTAGTAGTAGTAGTAGTAGTAGTAGTCACAGTAGTAGTAGTAGTCTTCGTAGCAGTAGTAGTCGGTGTAGTAGTACTCGTAGTCGTAGTAGTAATAGTAGTGATAGTAGTAGTAGTGGTAGTAGTAGTAGTAGTAGTAGCAGTCGTAGAAATAGTCGTACTCGCAGTCGTGGTGATAGTAGCATTAGTCGTCGTAATAGTAGTACCCGTGGTCGTAGTAGTAGTAGTAGTCGTAGTCGTAGTAGTAGTAGTAGTAGTAGTAGTAGTAGTAGTAGTAGTGCTAGTAGTAGTAGTAGTATCAGTTGTAGTAGTATAGCCGTCGTAGTAGTAATAGTAGTAGAGTAGTAGTAATAGTAGTAGTAGAAGTAGTCGTTGTCGTAGTCGTAGTCGTCGTAGTAGTAGTAGTAGTACTAGTAGTAGTAGTAGTAGTAGCAGTAGTAGTGGTAGTAGTAGTAGTAGTAGTAGTAGTAGTAGTAGTAGTAGTAGTAGTATTAGGAGTAGTAGTAATAGTGATAGTAGTAGTAGGAGTAGTAGCAGTAGTCGTAGTAGGAGTAGTAGTAGTAGTCGTCGTAGTAGTAATAGTAGTAGTAGTAGTAGTCGTAGAATTACTAGCAGTCGTCGTCGTCGTCGTGATAGTAGTAGTAGTAGTAGTAGTAGTCGTAGTCGTAGTCGTAGTCGTAGTCGTAGTAGTAGTAGTAGTAGTAGTAGTAGTAGTAGTAGTAGTAGTAGTAGTAGTAGTGGTGGTGGTGGTGGTAGTAGTAACAGTAGTAGTAGCAGTAGTAGTAGTAGTAGTAGTAGTAGTCCTAGTCGTAGTCGTAGTCGTCGTCGTAGTCGTAGTAGTAGTAGTAGTAGTAGTAGTAGTAGGAGTAGTAGTAGTAGTAGTAGTCGTCGTAGTAGTAGTAGCAGTAGTAGTAGTAGAAGAAGAGGAAGAAGCATAATAATAATAATAATAATAAGTAGTAGGAACAGTAATAGCCGAAACCAAGTGCCTTAGCCAGCTCAACCTCCCAACCCGTCCAACTAGCCAACCAACTCACACAACCACCCAACCCACCCGTCAGCCAAGGCCAACCAGCCCAGCCGGCCACCCCGTCACCTCAGCAACCCGCCGATCCCCTCCGCCTGCTCTCCGTGCCCAACCAGCCACCCTGCCAACCTGCCCTCCCCCGCCGCCTGCCCTCCGTCACCGCCGAGAAGGTGAGGAAGGGTTTTTTACCAGCGAGAGCAAAAAAAACTAGCTCTCCCGGGGGCCGGCGGGACAGCGGGGAGGGGGCAAATCACACCGTACTATGCAAGGCCGGGATTCGCGCTGTCGTCATTTTATTAACGTCCTCCGTGCCCTCTTTCTCAACGGGAAGCTTCCATCCTTGAAACCGTCGCCAATTTTGAAGCCCCAGGATCAGGAGGCCCCAGGAGGCCTCAGAAAGCTGCCAAGAGGCCCCAGGAGGCCTCAGGAGGCATCAGGAAGCTCCAGGAGACTTCAGGACGCCCCCGGAGGCCGTGGGAATCCCAACGAGGCTCCAGGATGTTCTAGAAGGTCCCAGGATGCCCCGTGAGGCCCCTCAAGGTCCCACGAGGAGAAGGGAGGACAGGAAGGGATGGAGGGAAACAAGAGACGGGAAGTCGGCGGGGGATTTGCAGGAAACTGATGATGATGGTGATGACGATGATAACGAGGAGGAGGAGGAGGAGCAGGAGGAGAAGGAGGAAAAGGAGGGGGAGGAGGAGGAGGAGGAGTACGATGGGGGAGGAGGAGGAGCAGAGGGAGAAGAAAAATGACGAGAACGAGGAGGAGGAAGAGGAGGAGGGTGAGGACAAACAGAAGCCAGATGGAAGCATCAAACAGAGCCGGGATAACCATGTCAAGGACGCCGAGGGCCAGGACGGATATACACACTGAGAAAGAGCACGGCAATGAGAGACACCATGCACAGCGGAAAAAAACAAACATGATGATGGTGACATCGCGGTAAGGCTAGCAACAAGCGTCACGACGACGTTCCAGAGAGCGATTGTGATCACATTGGTTTCTACCCCCGCGAGGTGCGAGTAGTAGTAGTAGTAGTAGTAGTAGTAATAGTAGTAGTAGTAGTAGTATTAGTAGTAGTAGTAATAGTAGTAGTAATGGTAAAAGTATTCGTAGTAGTACGAATATTAGTATTAGTATTAGTATTCGTTAAATAGTAGTAGTAGTAGTAGTAGTAGTAGTAGTAGTAGTAGTAGTAGTAGTAGTAGTAGTAGTAAGAGTAGTAGTAGTAGTAATAGTAGTAGTAGTAGTAGTAGTAGTAGTCGGAGTAGTCGTAGTACGTAGTAGTAATATATGTATTAGTAGTAGTAGTAGTAGTCGAAGTAGTAGTAGTAGTAGTAGTAGTAGTAGTAGTAGTCGTAGTCGTAGTAGTAGTAGTAGTAGAAATAATAGTAGTAGTAGTAGTTGTAGTAGTAGTCGTAGTAGTAGTAATAGTAGTAGTAGTAGTAGTAGTAGTCGGAGTAGTCGAAGTAGTGGTATTCGTAGTCGTAGTAGTGGTGGTAGTAGTAGTCGTAGTAGTAGTAGTAGTAGTAGTAGTAGTAGTAGTAGTAGTCGTAGTAGTAGAAGTGGTCGTTGTGTCAGTAGTAGGAACCGTAGTAGTAGTCGACGTAGTAGTAGTGGTGGTAGTAGTAGTAGTAGTAGTAGTAGTAGTAGTAGTAATCGTAGTAGTAGTCGTAGTAGTAGTAGTAGTAGTAGTAGTAATAACAGTAGCAGTAGTGGTAGTAGTAGTAGTAGTAGTAGTAGTAGAGTAGTAGTAGTAGTAGTAGTAGTAGTAGTAGTAGTAGTAGAAGTAGTAGTAGTAGTAGTAGTAGTAGTAGTAGTAGTAGTAGTGGTGGTGGTGGTGGTGGTGGTAGTAGTAGTAGTAGTCACATTATTGAAATTATGATTCGTAGTAGTAGTAGCCGTAGAAGTAATAGTAATAGTAGTAATAATAATCGTCGTCGTAGGAGAGGTAGGAGAGGGATCAGAAAATTTTGATTCGGATGCAGACCATGACGATGAGGAGCTATTACGGCGACGACAATCTGAAGCAATAAGAAGAGGCATGTGCAGAGCGTTGGTGGCAGGAGGCCGCCCGAGACTCAGCAGTGCAGCTGCCGTAGTCGCAGGCATGCCCGCATTCCCCTCCTCTTCC